GCCCACAAGAGGGGGGGGGGGTGTCACGGCCACCCCGGAACCCCACACCCCCTAGCTAGCTACGCCCTTGGTTGTATTTTGCTTAATACAGCTGAACTACCAAATATTTTACTGAACACTAACATTTACTTTACATTGTGTAAAGGTAAACGAAATAAGGTAACAAAAGCTCCTGTATAATTTTTAGTTTGTGCCGATATTTATGTAGTTGATAAGCTAATACATCAAGTTACATATCGTCATAGGAAAAACTTCAACTCCTTGAAAGAATTAAAAGACCCTTACGTTGTATAATCTTTTAAAACTATTCAAACAGTTTAGCATTCTGTAGAGTTTGTAAGCTAATACATAAAGTTATATGTTAGTTACAAGAAAAACTTGAACTTCTCGCAAAGCAAGAGAAATGGCTACCGCGTTGGAAATAGTTAAAACTTAGCATATAGACTAGCATTCTATATGTCTGGTAAGCTAATATATCAACTTACACTTCGGTTACTAGAAAAAGCATAACTTCTTGTAAAGAAACAAAAAAACTAGTTTTGAACTAGTTAAAACTATTACATAGTCAAGTATCGTATATAGCTGGTAAGTTAATAAATCAATTCACGGTTATATTTCAGTTACAGAAAAAAAGTTAACTTTTTTAATAGAAATAAAAGAGCTATTTGGTTGAACGAGTTAAAACTACTAATCTGGCGTTTTGGGAACATCCCTCCAAATGTCAACGGCCAATTAGGCTTCCGCTGGTACCCCTTCGGCTGTCACGGTGATAGTTTCCTTGGTAACCAGTTGGGCCGATGTTTTTCTGGCTTTTGCAGCTTCAGTGATCTTTTCATTGTTTGGGTTGAGTTGTTGTTTTAGAACTTTTGGTAGAATCCCCTGTGCGTTCTTTACATCAGTCGCGGTAGATGTGCCTGAAAATTACATCGAATTGTAGTATCCATAAAAATCATATGTTCTTGAGCATAAATTTGTAATTAAAAGGTTCTTCTATCCACCCTCATAACTGATCAATAGGCAATTTAGCTATCGTTGCCTTCGTTATTTTTATCCAGCGGAACACTTAACAGAACGAGGGCTCCAGAACCGAGATTGATTGGTGGTCGTGTCCCATCCATGAGTTGGTAAACTTCCCGCTAAAGATGCATGAATGCACGAAAAAAAAAGATGATTTTTTCATTTATCAGAATGAAGAGTTTAATAAATACCACTGACAATCGAGAGTTCAAAATCATTAAAAGGCTCGAGATTTCAGCACTTTCATAAACAAGCGTCACGTGTATCTCTTCCATTGAAATAAACCACTGCCCTTTTCGATTTAGTGTCACGTAGTACAAAAACTTTGTAACCATGACGGCAAATCACTGTTAGGTAGAGTACCGTAAGGAACCAATGATAATTAAAAAACCTTCAAATTGACCAAAACGCGGGAAAACGTGGGTGACTGAGGCGTGATTGGCTTACGTTTGCATCTGATTGGTTAAGAGAGTGGCGAGAGTTTTTTTGGGACCAATCACAAAGCGAAGTAAAGCAAGACTAATTCAGTCCCAGATTAAGTTCGGCACTCAAAGGGAAAGTAAACGACGATGTTAAGAAACCGTGATTATACCAACAGATACAAGTTGGATTAGTGAAAATCTAGGAAGTTTTGAGGAAAGAAATATTTCCAATAAAACATTGAATCAGGAATGAAATTACGCACTTAAAGATAAATGCTGTTTAATTTATTTCGCTTTTCATTATTTAAAGCCACGGTGCTCGCCTTGCCAACTTTTCCTATTTTCCTTACGCTCATTTCCGGATACTACGCTAGAGGTATTTTTTTTTGTGAAAGTGATGTCTACGATTCCTTCAAGGTGATAGGGCTTTCGGAAAGTGCACTCACCAAACAGGGCCTGTATCTGTTGAGTATCATCCCTGCTCAGCTTGTAGTCCGGCAGATAACCTTTATACCAGGGGTACATAATGGACTCCTGATTGCGGGAGTGCTTCAGACCCATAGTGTGTCCAAGTAGATGAACCGCCGCCCAGTACAAGTTGATGCCGTTGTCTGTTCCTGTGGTGAATGTTTCATCGTCATCAAAATGGACCTCAACAGGTAAATCTGAAAAAAATACGGAAATAAATGAGTGAATAGTATTAAATTAGGCTTATTTCGGGATGCTACAATTGCTGCAAACGTAACGGCCAAAAATCGACCCCCCTTAATACTATGTTAGTGGCGAATGATCACCCCTCCGTTGAAAACCATGCCACATCATCCACAAACTCCCCCGCTCTCCCCAGGCCACTAGTCCTTACACCACCCAGAGAAAAAAAAACGTTTCTCTCACCCTTGCTGGAATCTGGATAAAGCACGTGTCCGAATGTTCCTCCTTTTCCATCAAATGGGTACGGATCACCGTGTGATCCTTTCAAAAATCGAACAAGAACTTTGCTCTTTTGGTCATCTTGAGTCGAGCGCTTCGTAACTCGGCATGTTGATCCGGCTGGAACATAAATCTCCAAACGTCGCAACAATCTGCTCAGCGATGAAATTTGTCCCACAGCATATCGGTGGGACATAATTGCTGAGATCATTTCCTGAGATGGAAAAAGGAGTTGTTTACCTTACATAACATCTTGACGATTTCCAACTTGTGAGATTCTAACACCTCGCTAATACGCCTTTATTGTTTTGGTGTTTATTCCTTTCATTTTTAATCATCGCTCGTTGATCAACGAGGAAACAGATAATTTAATTGCATGTAGTTATGTTTTTCATGTCACGCAATCTACGTCGAAAGGATCACACAACGAATCAAAGGAACCTAT